CTGAAACAATATAGACTGAGAATCAATAATTAAGACCATTGAATAATACTCAACATGAACAGTTGAATTAGTGTTTTTTTTTTCTCATTTTATACTATTCAAGTAAGTTGATCTAGAACATAAGAAAAAAAGAAAATTAAGCCACTCGGTAAATCAATAGAAAAAAAATACAATCACATTAAATTAAAAAATAAAGAAAATAAAAAAAAAATCTTTAATATTGATTCTTATTGCCTTTGTTACATTCATCTTCATATTTCGTTCTACAATGCAGATGAACTAATTTCTGATTTGGAAATCTTACAACAGCTTGTGTTGCTGTAAATGGTTGTGTACATCCTGTTCGAGCACATGTGGAATCAGCATCAATTATATATGAATGATTTTCACTTGATATACGTTTTGATTGTGTACGAAGTAATGTTAAAAAAAGTAAATTACGTTCTAATTGTGAACTACGTTTATTTGTTGAACATGTTTGTAATGCATGTTCAATAAAATCTTTTAAATTATTTAATTTCAATTGACCTGGTAAAATTTCTAATGTTTGAACAGGATCAAGACGTTCAGATGCATTATTAACAATACGTAAAATTGTTTTTAAACTATTTTCATTTAAATTTCCATCATTACTTTTTTTTAAATAAAATTCAATTAAACGACGATAAAGATCATGTGCTAATTGAATATTACCATTTGAATACATAGTTTCACAATAACGTTCAGCATCTGTATAAAAACCATTTTTAACAAATGTTTCAAGTGCTAATTCATGTCGACCTAATTTACCAAGTACAATAGCATAATGTAAACTAAATAAATGTTCATTTGATGTATCATTTTGTTCTTGAAGAAAATATGCTTCTAATTTATCAAAATCACATTGACAATTTTGATTAAGTAAAAAGAATTTTAACTTGTTTTCATAATCAGTTTTTTGTTTTTTTATAGAAGATATTGCCGAATAATCTTCAACATTAACTGCTGATGATTGAGTTGCAAGTACATCATTGTCTAAAAAATTTTATTTATAAAATAATATGAAATAGAATCATTGGAGAATTAAATTGTTACAGATTCTCTTTCATTCAATCAGAGTCTTATAAGGATGTGATGTTTTGTGGAACACAATCTAGAAGGACTGTTGAAGTATACGGGTAAAACATTCACCTCTTTCGATCTAAACAAACCCTAATGTTCTAGCCTGTTCTGTTCAAGAGTTGCACGAGTTTTCCTGAGATCCCACGATCTCAGCAAGTCAACTTTGGAACACTACAAAAGAGCTGAAGACGAGTATGATTCATCATGTAGAGTCGAATAGTGATGTTTGTTTTCAGTTTTAAAGCGATTTGAGACCACTATTTCAAGATTTATAAAATTTCGATTTTATGCTGTGTGTATGAATGTTTTGAAATTTCAAAAATATTGAAATAGTGATCTCAGGTCGCTTTGAAACTGAAAACAAACATCATCATTCGATTCAGCATGATGAATTACATCTATCTACAGCTCTTTTAGAGTTTTCCAAAGTTAACTTGCTGAAATCATGAGGTCTCAGTAAAATCCTTACAACTCTTCAACGAAACAGGCTAGAAAGTTGAGGCTTGTGTAAATCGAAAAAGAAGAATTTTTTCTATCGATTGGTCATATTCCAACTTAAAATTCAATGGAAAATGGCTTCAGAATATCGTTCTTTTTTTTCTAAATCTTCGCAGAGAACTCATCTGATTGGTCAACAATTGACCAATCAAATTTCAGCATACATATATGACCCACAGTCTTCTCTCTTGAATGATGAAAATTCTAGATTTCTATGTTGTTCCTATTACAAGTTATTCAAAAAAATAATCAGAGTCATTACTTTTCTAAAACGACAATAGGCTCAACAGATCCTACTTATTGAGCGATGTCTCATGTCAAACGCCAAGTACCAACCAAAGTGGATCCCTTGTTAGCATAGAAGAATTTTCTTACTATCGAAATATATGTGATACATTAATGATTTTTATTTTTATTTTTTGTTTTCATTATGTGCTAAACATTGGCTCCATTATTATAATTAGTTCTCTATCAATAAAAAGAATCATCGTCAAATACTAAGTTCGAATACTTTTTAGCAATGATATCCTTTATATATATGCGTTAGGTTTGAATATTTTATTATTCTTATATTAATAAAACATAAGATACCTTCATAAGTATTTTGTTGCTTATCATTTATTGCTCGTTGTTTAGCTTTGATCATTGGTTTAAATACATTAGATAATTGTTTAATACGATCACAATATGCATAAACAAGACGATTATGAATATCACGTTGTTTAGAACCAAGTTCTGGTTTTAAACAAATAGTTTCTAAATATTTTATAGCAAAATCTTGATTAATTTCTTTTAAAAATCCATATACTTCAATTGGATTAAGTTTAATTGTTCCTATATTTGACGTATCAATTGTTGGTGGTGATGGTGATGTTGGTGTTGATTCTCCAACAAATAATATTAATATATCATGAAGAATATTTTCATTATTTATTTCTTTTAAAGCTGATTTTATCATGGGTTCAATATATTTAAATATCAATGGTAATTGATTACTATCAAGTTTTGATAAATAATTAAGAATATTTTCACGTGTTGATAATGATTCTGTATTTGTAATTAATTCTAATGCTTCACTATGTCGATTGTGTTTTTCATAAAATGAAACTAATTCTTGACGACGATGATGTTTTTTAAGTTCTTTTTCAACTTCCGATGGTAAACAACTATTATCTTGATTACGTAATAATGCATTAGCTAATGTATTATTATTATCAATTAAATAAGCTTTAAGTAAAGCTGTTTCAACAACTATTAATAAATCATGAACAGGTTTTAATATAAGACGATTTCGGACAAGTGATTGAACCTATATGAAAAATTATTCGATTAAAAAAGAAAAAGTTTTTTTTTTCTTTTACTTCAAGCCAACTATCTGGTGAACGTCGAAAAATTGTTTGAAAAACTCGACGTAAATCAGTTAAATAACGTTGTAATTCATGTAAAGCATTTTCAAATTTAACTCCAACAAAATCATTTGGTTCAGCAAAATGTCGATGTTGTTTAACAAATTCATTTAATTCATTATATGAATTTGTTAACCATACATTAGCTGATAATGGTGCAAATAATGATATGATTTCAGTTGGATCAGTTAAAAAATCATTAAATTCAGCAAAAGCTTGTTCAAATTGTTGTTTATGAAATAATTGAAATGCATCCATCGTACCAACACGATAATATTCAGTCCAAAGTTCTGTATCAGTTAATTTTTGATTATTATGAAACGGTTCATTTATTAAAGAAGGTTGACGAATTATTGATCCACTAGCTGATGACTAAAACAAAGAATAGTTAATAAAAAAAGCTATTAACACAATCCTTGCAGGATCAAAATGTGAAACATTATGTAGCTGATCACAGGAAAAATTATTTAATTTTTTCTAATTTCAAACACATTCTTCACTATCATTTTACTTAATCCTCCAGAAATGAACCGAGGAAGTAGTTCATATATTATAACAAAACTTTATTCATATACGATCCTTGATTGTATATCAACATCCCAATCACGAGAAACTTCTAAATTTTGGTTCTGCGCAATATCTATTTGACACGCTAGACGACAAGTATCTATAGAGTACCAGTCGATCATAGTCTGTGAAGGAGGAGAAAGTATAGATTACTACCCTGTATAAGGAGTGAGTCGAAATTTTACTCTTTTTCGCGTATTTAAATGCATTGGTAGTTTATTAGGATCGGAATTTTGTGCTCGTTCAGAATATATACTGAGAATTTTTCTATGACTTTTGAGTTATAAGTAAATCTTGACAGGACTCAAAAATGTTTTCTGGAGACAAATCTATATTAAATAAGTTCCGTAAAAATATAGTTTACTCGAGGATGATCTCCACTCTACAAAATGATATAAGACTGGAGAGTTATTTTGCGCTGAAAAAGGGAAAACCGGAAAAAATATCGAGTTTCCTTGCGATAGACTTCATAAAAGTCTTTACTGCACTTCAGCAGTTTGTAAAAAAAACTATTGTCTTATAGAAAATTATCTTCTGTATCTTTCAATATATTTGATAAAATTTTGCGGCATGTAATAGTCAAAAGTTACAGAAAAATTCTAAGCATATATTCTGATAGAGCACAAAATTCTGATTGTAATACATTACCAATGCATTTCAATATCTAAAAAATAGTCAAATATTTTGTCTAGAAACTTTGTGCCCACTGCTTACTTCAACATTTTTTTTTGTTAACTCAATAAACAAAAACAAAATCGAACTATTTTATCATAATTACTTTATTTGATGATTGTTCATTATTTTCAAATATTACTTGTTTAGGCAGTGCAGATATATCAATCTTTCCTTTTGCATGACCATCATTTGTTCTTGATTGTTCATTCAATGGTGATGATACAGATATTCCAAGTACAGCTCGAACAAGAATTAATGCTAAATCATATCTATATCTACCAACATAATTTTGTAATTGTATATGAACAGGTATTGGTTCAAGTATAGTAACATCAGTGGGTGTTGCAGCATAAATTCTTTCAGTTCGAGCATCCATCCATAAACGACATTTTCCTGCTGTTGTTGAACCTTTATGTGGAATTTGTTGTACAGGTACAGATTGTGAACCATTAAATGTACAAACATCAATTGATTGATTCATTAATGCTAATACATATGGACTTGCTTGAACAATAGCTGATGGAATATCTTTCCATGTAATACCATTTTCATATAATGGTTCAAAATTTGAATTCAAAAATACAGTATTTGATTCCATTTGTATACACCATTGTGTTCGATCTTGAAGACAAGTTATAACTGGTTCATGTACCGTTGTAAATGTTAATTCATTAATAATCATACCAGTTATAAGACTCATAATAACATAAGATCTTCTATAACCAATACAGATTTTCTCACGTGATAATGCTAATGCACGTGGAACATCAATTAAATCAAAAGCACCACGTAAATCTTTATTTTCTTCTAAACGTTTTTGTTGAGGAAGCCAACGATAGAAAACAAGTGAACGACGTTTTGTTGCAACACACAATTTGAGTTCATTTGGAATTGATATTGTAGTACTTGATATTGATGATGAAGATGAAGATTGATTTGATCCAATATCATACCTAATGAAATAATTGTTTTTAATAAAGAAATTCAGTTGTATTCAGAATATGACTAGTATAGTATTTTTCATGAAAATCTTCGATTGACATGAAATCGATTTGTAAATGAACAGTTAAAATCACACTATGATGAAGTCAAAAGATTATATGAATGATATTTCGTCACAGACAACTTTAATTTTTGTTGAAACATTCATGCAAGGTCCTTCTCAAGGTTCAGGCAAAAAA